TGTGTGTGTGTTGTGAGTGTGTGTGTGTGTGTGGCTTTGTGAGTGTGTGGAGTGTGTGTGATGTTGGTGTGAGTGATGTGTGTGTGTGTTGTGTGTGTGTGTGTGTGTGTGTGTGTGTGTCGAGGGTTGTGGTGTGTGTGTGAGAGATTGTGTCGTGTGTGAATGCGAGTTTGTGTGTGTGTGTGTGTGTGTGTGAGTGTGTGTGTGTGTTGTGGGGCCTACAAAGGGGGTTCTGATGCTGTAGAAGGGTCCTTATGCGTGAGAGGGTTCTTGAACTCAGTAATTGTACCTGCCCTCTCCACCCTTGCAGCGATCCTAATTACCTCCCACTCCCGAGGCACTGTAACCCCCACTGGTTTAGCGCTCCTTCATGAATGGGCTAATTGTACAACTGTCTACCCCCCGTCAAGGGAGGTGCCGGTGAAGGGCTCTTGATTCAAAGAACTGGAGCTACGTTCCTATTAGATCGAACCTGGCCGCCTCCTATTCCTTAAGGGCTTTGTGACCCCATACGAGTTTAGCGCATAATGTGACCCTTTATTGACTGCATTTCGCCCACACAGTAGGCGACCTAATTAGGTCAAATAAGACTGGTCAGGAAACAGGACAAGTATTTCCTGACGTTGGTCTTAGTTATATGATGACCCACAGCTGGAGCGTTTGGTCATCTGACCGAAGCCTTCCACTGGCTTACCACTCCACCACTTTAAAAATTATAATTGTAAGTATAGGCATTTTACCCGAGCATGCATAAGTAAGATGGCGTCCACTTGTATGTTATATATATAATATATATATATATAATATATATATATATATATATATATATATATATATATATATATATATTCTTTCTTTTCTTTCAACACACCAGCCGTATCCCACCGAGGTGGGGTGGCCCAAAAGGAAAAACAAAAGTTTCTCCTTTCATATTTAGTAATATATACAGGAGAAGGGGTTACTAGCCCCTTGCTCCCGGCATTTTAGTCGCCTCTTACAACACGCATAGCTTACGGAGGAAGAATTCTGTTCCACTTCCCCATGGAGGTAAGAGGAAATGAACAAGAACAAGAGCTAGTAAGAAAATAGAAGAAAACCCAGAGGGGTGTGTATACATATGCTTGTACATGTATGTGTAGTGTGACCTAAGTGTAAGTAGAAGTAGCAAGACGTACCTGAAATCTTGCATGTTTATGAGACAGAAAAAAAAACACCAGCAATCCTACCATCGTGTAAAACAATTACAGGCTTACGTTTTACACTCACTTGGCAGGACGGTAGTACCTCCCTGGGTGGTTGCTGTCTACCAACCTACTACCTAGGATATATATATATATATATATATATATATATATATATATATTATAACATACAAGTGGACGCCATCTTGTTAATGGCTAAAATACACAAATAACCCGCACATAAAAGAGAGAAGCTTACGACGACGTTTCGGTCCGACGTGGACGGTATTGTGCCTTTGTTATTTATTAATGGCTAAAATGCTTCAGTTTTTTTCTTTACGATCATGAAGACGTTGTGTAGTTTTAAAAATAGGTTGGATAAATACATGAGTGGGTGTGAGTTGGACCTGACTAGCTTGTGCTACTAGGTCAGATGCCGTGCTCCTTAAGTGAATGTGACTGATCTGACTAGGTTAAGGCATTGGCCTAAGCCGGTGGGAGAATTGGACCTGCCTTGCATGGGCCAGTAGGCCTGCTGCAGTGTTCCTTCTTGCTTATGCTCTTAAATCCACAAGGTGTCTTCTCTGCAGGATAATCTGGCAAGGAGACGAGTACGTCAAGCTAAATACCCACTGAGAGAAGATTTGTCAGGCAAGATACCCACGGTGGGCACGTCGACACTACGTTTTAGTCCTACCGCTGATATACCCTTCACACACTTTCTGGCGCCTCTCTCTGCCCCTACACCTACACTGCTCGACACCCAGCCTGAGGAGATTATTGCAGGTAAGTCCTTAGGCTCTTCATCCAGGGAATTGAAGGTTAGGTAAAGTTCGTCAGGAAACAGTACAAGTGTTTCCTGACACTTGAACCCAGTGGGTTTAGTGTTTCCTGACACTTGAACCCAGTGGGTTTAGTGTTTCCTGACACTGTTCTTAGTTATGAGGGTAAGATTAGTCAGGAAACAGGACAAGTGTTTCCTGACACTTGAACCCAGTTGGTTTAGCGCTCCCCCCCTAAATTATTACTTATGACCTACGAGGTTCCCAGGATGCCACCTGAGTCAATACAGAAGAAAATTTTAACAAGATAAACATAGGCTTCAATAAGTTTGGACCTTCACCGGGTATTGAACTCTGGTCCCTTTCCTTGATAGCAGACGTTCTACCACTGACCTATAAGGATAATGATTCGGATGTATTTTTTATATTTTAAGTGAAGCGTTAGACCCGTACGGGCCACAAGGAATCCTGAAGGCTCGATACTCCGTCCATAACCTTTGAAAATTAAATTATTATTAAATACTAGGGTAATATATTGTACTAGAGATTGTAATTGTGGGGGTACTCTAAACCCGTAGGGGTTATAGAGCACATTGGGGGAATGGAAAGTGATCAGGTTTGATCCAAGGAGTGGCATTACATGTAATATTGGAATAATTACTTATGCAGACAACTGTGTTGCTGAGGCTTACCAGCGCCAAGCCTCGTAATAACTCCATTTTTCTCACTTCTTCCTCTCTTACTGCCTATTTTATGTCATTTATGTATCAACTAACTCGTGAGTATCAAAAAATATATAATAGCGAGTTTAATAAACGAGAAATCAATAAAACTGGATCAAATTAATCGGTGTTAGTTCCAGGGTTCAGGCCACCACGGTAGCATTCCATGCGCCGCGGACGGGATCAATATTTTTTTCTCTTATATTCTTCTCTCCGGCTGTTATTCTCTTCGTTAAATATATAATTCTTAGCAAAAACTACTCTAGCTTCCCTGGGTAAGTTAAATACACAGCGGAAACACTGATTAGTGTTAAATTGAAGCGAATCATTTTGACACGGTCTAAGTTAGTCATTCTGGCTCAGTTGCCAGACGTATATTTCTTATTCTTCTATAAAATTTATAGATATAGATATTTTTTCTATCTTAGAATGAGAACCAGTAGTTAGTTAATTATTATAATAATGTAAACTTGAGGAAGGTAATGTTGGAGGAGAGAAATAAAAAGAATTCGTTTGGAGGGTGTGTCAGTTTGTTGGAGTCTTGATCTTAGTCAACCAAGTCAGGGAAGGTAGTGTTAGGTGCATCATCCTGCGTCCTGGTACCTACCTACCAGGCTACAGCAAGGTACCTACCTACCAGGCTACAGCAAGGTACCTTCCTGCCAGGCTACAGCAAGGTACCTACCTGCCAGGCTACAGCAAGGTACCTACCTGCCAGGCTATAGCAAGGTACCGACCTGCCAGGCTACAGCAAGGTACCGACCTGCCAGGCTACAGCAAGGTACCGACCTGCCAGGCTACAGCAAGGTACCTACCTGCCAGGCTACAGCAAGGTACCTCCCTACCAGGCTACAGCAAGGTACCGACCTGCCAGGCTACAGCAAGGTACCTACCTGCCAGGCTACAGCAAGGTACCTCCCTACCAGGCTACAGCAAGGTACCGACCTGCCAGGCTACAGCAAGGTACCTACCTACCAGGCTACAGCAAGGTACCTCCCTGCCAGGCTACAGCAAGGTACCTACCTACCAGGCTACAGCAAGGTACCTCCCTGCCAGGCTACAGCAAGGTACCTCCCTGCCAGGCTACAGCAAGGTACCTCCCTGCCAGGCTACAGCAAGGTACCGACCTGCCAGGCTACAGCAAGGTACCGACCTGCCAGGCTACAGCAAGGTACCTCCCTACCAGGCTACAGCAAGGTACCTCCCTACCAGGCTACAGCAAGGTACCTCCCTACCAGGCTACAGCAAGGTACCGACCTGCCAGGCTACAGCAAGGTACCGACCTGCCAGGCTACAGCAAGGTACATACCTGCCAGGCTACAGCAAGGTACCTCCCTGCCAGGCTACAGCAAGGTCCCTCCCTACCAGGCTAGAGTAAGGTACCTCCCTACCAGGCTACAGCAAGGTACCTCCCTACCAGGCTACAGCAAGGTACCGACCTGCCAGGCTACAGCAAGGTACCGACCTGCCAGGCTACAGCAAGGTACATACCTGCCAGGCTACAGCAAGGTACCTCCCTGCCAGGCTACAGCAAGGTACCGACCTGCCAGGCTACAGCAAGGTCCCTCCCTACCAGGCTAGAGTAAGGTACCTCCCTACCAGGCTACAGCAAGGTACCTCCCTACCAGGCTAGAGCAAGGTACCTCCCTACCAGGCTAGAGCAAGGTACCTCCCTACCAGGCTAGAGAAAGGTACCTACCTACCAGGCTACAGCAAGGTACCTCCCTACCAGGCTACAGCAAGGTACCTACCTGCCAGGCTACAGCAAGGTACCTCCCTACCAGGCTACAGCAAGGTACCTACCTGCCAGGCTACAGCAAGGTACCTGCCTACCAGGCTACAGCAAGGTACCTGCCTACCAGGCTACAGCAAGGTACCTTCCTACCAGGCTAGAGCAAGGTACCTACCTACCAGGCTAGAGCAAGGTACCTACCTACCAGGCTACAGCAAGTTACCTCCCGACCAGGCTAGAGCAAGGTACCTCCCGACCAGGCTACAGCAAGGTACCTCCCTACCAGGCTAGAGCAAGGTACCTACCTGCCAGGCTACAACAAGGTACCTCCATGCCAGGTTACAGCAAGGTACCTACCTACCAGGCTACAGCAAGGTACCTTCCTACCAGGCTACAGCAAGGTACCTACCTACCAGGCTACAGCAAGGTACCTACCTACCAGGCTACAGCAAGGTACCTCCCTGCCAGGCTACAGCAAGGTACCTCCCTGCCAGGCTACAGCAAGGTACCTCCCTACCAGGTTACAGCAAGGTACCTCCCTACCAGGTTACAGCAAGATACCTCCCTACCAGGTTACAGCAAGGTACCTCCCTACCAGGCTACTGCAAGGTACCTTCCTACCAGGCTACAGCAAGGTACCTACCTCCCAGGCTACAGCAAGGTACCTACCTCCCAGGCTACAGCAAGGTACCTCCCTACCAGGCTACACCAAGATTGCCTTGCTATTATTAACGTCTGAGGATTGGTAACCAAGCATAGCCCAGAACGTCTGGATTATTTCTAAGTGCCTATTTAGTGCAAGGTGAATAGGGACAAGTGTAAAGTGAAGCCCATCTCGCCCTGCCCAGGATGCACCTACCAAAAGGTTACTAACACCCATGTACCTAAATACTGCTTGGTGATTAGGGTCAGCAGGTATAAGGTGACTTACCCACACGTCTTCTAGTGTGGAGATTGAACCCTGACCTCTGAGTTGACCACAACGCCTCGTATCTTCACTCGGAACATTTAAGCTACAGTTCCCTTGTTTAAAAAGTGTGATGTAACATTGAAAAAAATAACTTGGAATTCGTAATGCTGTAATTCTTTTGGCAACAGTTAATTATTTCTTTGGCGTTCGTTATGATGCAAATTAGTGCGGTATAAAATAGCGGAAAATTTATACATTTTACGGAAGATGGAGTTGAAACGCATGTGTTCATACATTCTATAGGTTGGTCCGCTGTATAATCCTACGGGTTTAGCGGTTCCCCCTTTATAATAATAATATAGGTTGGTCCATGCGGACGGTATTTATGTAAGTGGTGAGTTCACCCGTGTGACTCTGGCCAAGTAGTGAAGGTTCGATCCTCTGGAAGTCAGCGCGAGAAACATGCGCTGCCAGGTTTTATATTGTGCATTAGATGACTTAAGAGTTATAATTGAGTTTCTGTAGTCGAAGTATAAGTGAAGTCTCAATTTATAACTACAAACCGGTTAGAGATTACAAATTCGTTCAAGAAATTTAAAAATCAATAGTTTAGTACTGGATATAAGTCAGGTATTGGCTTACAGAACGTGGAAATGGATAACGTAAAGCTGGCTTCCAGTACCAAGCATGCAGACGCAGGAGGTACTGCTGCAGAAGGAACACTCGTCACCACAAAGACAAAACGCTCTCAGCTACTTCGTCAGTCGGCCAGTACCGAACAGGCAGATGGAGGTACCGCAGAAGGAACTCTCGTTACCCAGGAGTTAGCAACCTCGCAGCCACCTCGAGTTCCCTGCTACGTACCGAAGCAATCTTACCGTAGTATTCCGCCCCTACGACGGATTCGCAAACCAAACTTCACTGAACCAGAGAAACAATTGATACTGTCTTTGATCGCCTCCCGGATGGATTTGATGGAAAATAAGTCCTTAGACCGCCACCTCTTGAAGGAGAAACAGGAAGCCTGGAGGGAAGTAACTAAGAGGTACAACGCTACCATCGCCGCCTCCGGCAGGAGCTTTGTAGCTCGGGATATGGATGAACTTCGAACTTTTTGGAAGAACTTGAGACGCAAGACCCAGTGGAAAGAACACAGGTTGGCAGGTGAGTGTTGCATAGTAAGATGAGAATAGAGAAGCGTTGTAATAGGCAGGTCTACTGTCTTACTAGGAAGGTCCTACTGTTCCATGCTAGGTAGGTCCTACTGTTCCATGCTAGGTTGGTCCTACTGTTCCATGCTAGGTTGGTCCTACTGTTCCATGCTAGGTAGGTCCTACTGTTCCATGCTAGGTAGGTCCTACTGTTCCATGCTAGGTAGGTCCTACTGTTCCATGCTAGGTAGGTCCTACTGTTCCATGCTAGGTTGGTCCTACTGTTCCATGCTAGGTTGGTCCTACTGTTCCATGCTAGGTAGGTCCTACTGTTCCATGCTAGGTAGGTCCTACTGTTCCATGCTAGGTAGGTCCTACTGTTCCATGCTAGGTAGGTCCTACTGTTCCATGCTAGGTTGGTCCTACTGTTCCATGCTAGGTTGGTCCTACTGTTCCATGCTAGGTAGGTCCTACTGTTCCATGCTAGGTTGGTCCTACTGTTCCATGCTAGGTAGGTCCTACTGTTCCATGCTAGGTAGGTCCTACTGTTCCATGCTAGGTAGGTCCTACTGTTCCATGCTAGGTAGGTCCTACTGTTCCATGCTAGGTAGGTCCTACTGTTCCATGCTAGGTAGGTCCTACTGTTCCATGCTAGGTAGGTCCTACTGTTCCATGCTAGGTAGGTCCTACTGTTCCATGCTAGGTAGGTCCTACTGTTCCATGCTAGGTAGGTCCTACTGTTTCATGCTAGGTAGGTCCTACTGTTCCATGCTAGGTAGGTCCTACTGTTCCATGCTAGGTTGGTCCTACTGTTCCATGCTAGGTAGGTCCTACTGTTCCATGCTAGGTAGGTCCTACTGTTCCATGCTAGGTAGGTCCTACTGTTTCATGCTAGGTAGGTCCTACTGTTCCATGCTAGGTAGGTCCTACTGTTTCATGCTAGGTAGGTCCTACTGTTCCATGCTAGGTTGGTCCTACTGTTCCATACTAGGTAGGTCCTACTGTTCCATGCTAGGTAGGTCCTACTGTTCCATGCTAGGTAGGTCCTACTGTTCCATGCTAGGTAGGTCCTACTGTTCCATGCTAGGTAGGTCCTACTGTTCCATGCTAGGTAGGTCCTACTGTTCCATGCTAGGTAGGTCCTACTGTTCCATGCTAGGTTGGTCCTACTGTTCCATGCTATTTAGGTCCTACTGTTCCATGCTAGGTTGGTCCTACTGTTCCATGCTAGGTAGGTCCTACTGTTCCATGCTAGGTTGGTCCTACTGTTCCATGCTAGGTAGGTCCTACTGTTCCATGCTAGGTTGGTCCTACTGTTCCATGCTAGGCTGGTCCTACTGTTCCATGCTAGGTAGGTCCTACTGTTCCATGCTAGGTTGGTCCTACTGTTCCATGCTAGGTTGGTCCTACTGTTCCATGCTAGGTAGGTCCTACTGTTCCATGCTAGGTAGGTCCTACTGTTCCATGCTAGGTAGGTCCTACTGTTCCATGCTAGGTAGGTCCTACTGTTTCATGCTAGGTAGGTCCTACTGTTCCACGCTAGGTAGGTCTTACTGGCCTATGCTAGGCAGGTCTTTCTGACTTATCCAGGTCCTACTACTTCCTGCTTGGCAGGTCTTAGTAAAGACCTACTTAGACTAGTGGATGGTACCACTCTGACCCCGCCTCCTCCTGCTTCACCTCATCTGACTACAGTATATAAGCCACGTCTACGGTCCTATGCTGTACATTCTAGAAGATTCGTCCAACTAGGTATATTTCTACACCATAGGTGTAGAAATATACCTAGTTGGACGAATTTTATTGTGGCTAGCTGGTCCAGTTGCTAACGCGACGGTCTGGAGTTTTGAGACTCTCAGACCGCGGGTTCTAACCCCACCCGTGGTATGATTTGTTTACAATCGTGTCATTACGATTTCGTGAGTGATGATAGTCTTATTTAGGGTAGAAAGTCGTCCTTACAAAATGTATTGTCCGGGTTTGGGTTATCCCAAGTAGAGAAGAAAAAGGCACAATACCGTGACTGGAACAATACACAAATAACCCGCGATATAGGAGACACGAGCTTACCACGACGTTACGGTCCGACTTGTAAATCGTCCACGTCTGACCGAAACGTCGTCGTAAGCCCCCCCCTCTCCTATATGCGGGTTATTTGTGTATTATCCTAATTAATTTACACAGTAAGACAGTTACAATAAATTCAAATTATATTAAATTGTTCCTAAATTAGTTTGCCCAACTGTTCCTACTGCATAACCTATATTTTTAGACCTAAGTAGGTTATAAATTCTGACTGCTCGGCCCTACACAACTGTCAACAAACATCCAGGTACCTATTTACTGCTGGGGCAGCAGATGTTTCTACTATGTTCCATCCTGGACTAGGATCCAGGTATGTATTTACTGCTGGGGCAGCAGATGTTTCTACTATGTTCCATCCTGGACTAGGATCCAGGTACCTATTTACTGCTAGGTGAGCAGGAGACATGTTTATATCCTCGAAGCTTGCGCCAGAGGTTGCTAGAGCGGTAACTGAAATATTCACAAGACGCACATTTCTATTGATGTTTTGATGCAAGGAAGTGGAGCTATCCTTTCTTTGACCGTGATTACCTCTCATTCTACCCGGCGTTGTATGACCCCTACGGATTTATCGCTCCCCCAGTGAATATAAGAAAGTATAACCTTGCGGATTGTGAAAGTTGTTGCATAGCTGACTTTGATATTGGTGAAGGGCTCTTGATCCGAGGAATGGAACTAATATCTCTCACTCTCTCTCTCTCTCTTTAACCTTTCTAAGATTTGTACTTTATTTCGCTTAACAGGCACGTAAGTTCCTTTGTCTTGTAATAACATTCATTTTTCCACTATCATCTACCTTGTACATAATTACTATCACACTTGCTTAGTTTGGTAAGGTGACGTCCAGGATCTTTACTTAATTCTTGGTATAACTTAACAAATTTGTGAGGACAACTGTGTTGTGGAGGTCTGAGCTTTGGTCAGAGTTTTTGCAACAGTTGTCCTCGTAGATTTGTTAAATTATACCTGGGTGTTAGTGGACTGGTGTGGGTGGTATCCTGGGTGTTAGTGGACTGGTGTGGGTCACATCCTGGGTGTTAGTGGACTGGTGTGGGTGGTATCCTGGGTGTTAGTGGACTGGTGTGGGTGGTATCCTGGGTGTTAGTGGACTGGTGTGGGTGGTATCCTGGGTGTTAGTGGACTGGTGTGGGTCACATCCTGGGTGTTAGTGGACTGGTGTGGGTCACATCCTGGGTGTTAGTGGACTGGTGTGGGTCACATCCTGGGTGTTAGTGGACTGGTGTGGGTCACTTCCTGGGTGTTAGTGGACTGGTGTGGGTCACATCCTGGGTGTTAGTGGACTGGTGTGGGTCACATCCTGGGTGTTAGTGGACTGGTGTGGGTCACATCCTGGGTGTTAGTGGACTGGTGTGGTCACATCCTGGGTGTTAGTGGACTGGTGTGGATCACATCCTGGGTGTTAGTGGACTGGTGTGGGTCACATCCTGGGTGTTAGTGGACTGGTGTGGGTCACTTCCTGGGTGTTAGTGGACTGGTGTGGGTCACATCCTGGGTGTTAGTGGACTGGTGTGGTCACATCCTGGGTGTTAGTGGACTGGTGTGGGTCACATCCTGGGTGTTAGTGGACTGCTGTGGGTCACATCCTGGTGTTAGTGGACTGGTGTGGGTCACATCCTGGGTGTTAGTGGACTGGTGTGGGTGGTATCCTGGGTGTTAGTGGACTGGTGTGGGTGGCATCCTGGGTGTTAGTGGACTTGTGTGGGTCACATCCTGGGTCTTAGTGGACTGGTGTGGGTCACATCCTGGGTGTTAGTGGACTGGTGTGGGTCACATCCTGGGTGTTAGTGGACTGGTGTGGGTTACATCCTGGGTGTTAGTGGACTGGTGTGGGTTACATCCTCGGTGTTAGTGGACTGGTGTGGGTTACATCCTGGGTGTTAGTGGAATGGTGTGGGTTACATCCTGGGTGTTAGTGGACTGGTGTGGGTCACATCCTCGGTGTTAGTGGACTGGTGTGGGTCACATCCTGGGTGTTAGTGGACTGGTGTGGGTTACATCCTGGGTGTTAGTGGACTGGTGTGGGTTACATCCTCGGTGTTAGTGGACTGGTGTGGGTTACATCCTGGGTGTTAGTGGAATGGTGTGGGTTACATCCTGGGTGTTAGTGGACTGGTGTGGGTCACATCCTGGGTGTTAGTGGACTGGTGTGGGTTACATCCTGGGTGTTAGTGGACTGGTGTGGGTTACATCCTGGGTGTTAGTGACTGGTGTGGGTTACATCCTGGGTGTTAGTGGACTGGTGTGGGTTACATCCTGGGTGTTAGTGGACTGGTGTGGGTTACATCCTGGGTGTTAGTGGACTGGTGTGGGTCACATCCTGGGTGTTAGTGGACTGGTGTGGGTCACATCCTGGGTGTTAGTGGACTGGTGTGGGTCACATCCTGGGTGTTAGTGGACTGGTGTGGGTCACATCCTGGGTGTTAGTGGACTGGTGTGGGTCACATCCTGGGTGTTAGTGGACTGGTGTGGGTCACATCCTGGGTGTTAGTGGACTGGTGTGGGTCACATCCTGGGTGTTAGTGGACTGGTGTGGGTCACATCCTGGGTGTTAGTGGACTGGTGTGGGTCACATCCTGGGTGTTAGTGGACTGGTGTGGGTCACATCCTGGGTGTTAGTGGACTGGTGTGGGTCACATCCTGGGTGTTAGTGGACTGGTGTGGGTCACATCCTGGGTGTTAGTGGACCGGTGTGGGTCACATCCTGGGTGTTAGTGGACCGGTGTGGGTCACATCCTGGGTGTTAGTGGACTGGTGTGGGTGGTATCCTGGGTGTTAGTGGACTGGTGTGGGTCACATCCTGGGTGTTAGTGGACTGGTGTGGGTGGTATCCTGGGTGTTAGTGGACTGGTGTGGGTCACATCCTGGGTGTTAGTGGACTGGTGTGGGTGGTATCCTGGGTGTTAGTGGACTGGTGTGGGTCACATCCTGGGTGTTAGTGGACTGGTGTGGGTCACATCCTGGGTGTTAGTGGACTGGTGTGGGTCACATCCTGGGTGTTAGTGGACTGGTGTGGGTCACATCCTGGGTGTTAGTGGACTGGTGTGGGTCACATCCTGGGTGTTAGTGGACTGGTGTGGGTCACATCCTGGGTGTTAGTGGACTGGTGTGGGTGGTATCCTGGGTGTTAGTGGACTGGTGTGGGTGGCATCCTGGGTGTTAGTGGACTGGTGTGGGTCACATCCTGGGTGTTAGTGGACTGGTGTGGGTCACATCCTGGGTGTTAGTGGACTGGTGTGGGTCACATCCTGGGTGTTAGTGGACTGGTGTGGGTTACATCCTGGGTGTTAGTGGACTGGTGTGGGTTACATCCTCGGTGTTAGTGGACTGGTGTGGGTTACATCCTGGGTGTTAGTGGAATGGTGTGGGTTACATCCTGGGTGTTAGTGGACTGGTGTGGGTTACATCCTCGGTGTTAGTGGACTGGTGTGGGTCACATCCTGGGTGTTAGTGGACTGGTGTGGGTTACATCCTGGGTGTTAGTGGACTGGTGTGGGTTACATCCTCGGTGTTAGTGGACTGGTGTGGGTTACATCCTGGGTGTTAGTGGAATGGTGTGGGTTACATCCTGGGTGTTAGTGGACTGGTGTGGGTCACATCCTGGGTGTTAGTGGACTGGTGTGGGTTACATCCTGGGTGTTAGTGGACTGGTGTGGGTTACATCCTGGGTGTTAGTGGACTGGTGTGGGTCACATCCTGGGTGTTAGTGGACTGGTGTGGGTCACATCCTGGGTGTTAGTGGACTGGTGTGGGTCACATCCTGGGACAAAACTGACCTAATTTACGGGAAATGCTCAGTATAACGAGGGACTTTCTATATAGTAGTATGTCACTGATGTCAGCTATGATCTGTATACCTTGTACATGTACTTGTATATCTTGTACATGTACTGGTATACCTTGTACATGTACTTGTATACCTTGTACATGTACTGGTATACCTTGTACATGTACTTGTATACCTTGTACATGTACTTGTATACCTTGTACATGTACTTGTATATATTTTACGTGTACTTGTATACCTTGTACATGTACTTGTATACCTTGTACATGTACTTGTATACCTTGTACATGTACTGGTATACCTTGTACATGTACTTGTATACCTTGTACATGTACTGGTATACCTTGTACACGTACTTGTATACCTTGTACATGTACTTGTATACCTTGTACATGTACTGGTATACCTTGTACATGTACACCTTGTACACGTACTTGTATACCTTGTACATGTACTTGTATACCTTGTACATGTACTTGTGTACCATGTACATGTACTTGTATACCTTGTACATGTACTTGTATACCTTGTACATGTACTTGTGTACCATGTACATGTACTTGTATACCTTGTACACGTACTTGTATACCTTGTACACGTACTTGTATACCTTGTACATGTACTTGTATACCTTGTACATGTACTTGTATACCTTGTACATGTACTTGTATACCTTGTACATGTACTTGTATACCTTGTACATGTACTTGTATACCTTGTACACGTACTTGTATACCTTGTACATGTACTTGTATACCTTGTACACGTACTTGTATACCTTGTACATGTACTTGTATACCTTGTACATGTACTTGTATACCTTGTACATGTACTTGTATACCTTGTACATGTACTTGTATACCTTGTACACGTACTTGTATACCTTGTACATGTACTTGTATACCTTGTACACGTACTTGTATACCTTGTACACGTACTTGTATACCTTGTACATGTACTTGTATACCTTGTACACGTACTTGTATACCTTGTACATGTACTTGTATACCTTGTACACGTACTTGTATACCTTGTACACGTACTTGTATACCTTGTACATGTACTTGTATACCTTGTACATGTACTTGTATACCTTGTACACGTACTTGTATACCTTGTACATGTACTTGTATACCTTGTACATGTACTTGTATACCTTGTACATGTACTTGTATACCTTGTACATGTACTGGTAGTAAATATATTACAACGTTCACTTTGCACTACAGGTCAACATAGAAGCATCAATATGAAGGTATACATTTCAAGCGTAAGTCTGTCAGGATGGCCGAGCGGTCTAAGGCGCTGCGTTCAGGTCGCAGTCCGGTCTTCCGGGCGTGGGTTCGAATCCCACTTCTGACATTGTGTTTTTACTGTTTTTCTTAGTTTGATATTGACGAAAGATGGCCGTCTCAGGTGAGGGGCTCTTGATCTAGGGTGTTGGATCTGTGATCCGGTTTTTGAGTTGGGCCAGAATACATTCCATCCTCGCCCCATAGGCGCTGTATAATCCTACGGGTTCAGCGCTCCATAACGAAAGATGGTTCGAATCCCACTTACGACAAGTTGTTTTTGCTGTTTTCTGTGGGTTTTAGAGCGGGGTTTCTTGTTTTAGTTTGATATAAATAGAAGAACGTCCGTTTCTCACTTCCGGTAAGTTGTAAAAGTAAGAATGGACGGGAACTGTAACCGCTGGTCCATGTATTTAGCAGGTCCACGCTGTACTCGCCTCACCTAATTGTAGTTGCAGGGGTCGAGACTCGGCTCCTGGTCCCACCTCATCACTGGTCGCTACTAGGTCCTCTCTCTCCCTGCTCCATGAGTTTTATCATACCTCGTCTTAAAGCTATGTATGGTTCCTGCCTCCACTACATCGCTCGCCAGACTGTTCAACTTCCTGACCACTCTATGACTGAAGAAATACTTCCTAACTTCCCTGTGGCTCATCTGAGTCTTCAACTTTCAATTGTGACCCCTTGTTTCTGTGTCCTATCTCTGGAACATCTTGTCTCTGTCCACCTTGTCTATTCCACGCAGTATTTTGTATGTAGTTATGTCTCCCCTATCCCTCCTGTCCTCCAGTGTCGTCAGGCCGGTTTCCCTCAACCTTTCTTCATAGGACATTCCCCTTAGCTCTGGAACTAACCTTGTCGCAAACCTTTGCACTTTCTCTAATTTCTTAACATTTAGCCATCAAATGTGGCCCACTTGTGTAGGAAGGTTGAGGTCCACTGAATTTAAAAGGGTCTTCCTTATGACATTTTTTTCAATATCGGAACAACGTGTGCCATTTTTGTCAATAGGCTTTAAACCCCATTAACTAAACAATCTTGTTCGCAGTGCCTGATCTGGTGGAGCGACTGTCTGGAGGGACGTGTGGTAGCTCTGAGGGGAAGACTGAGGGGTCAGGCGAGGCTGAAGATGAGGACACGGGTCTGGGAGTCAGTCTTATGGATACTGAGCAATCCATGGATGAGGATTACCTTCACGACCCTCAAGATATCAAAAGCAATGTCTTCCAGCAAAGTGCAGAGCTCGTCTCGAACAGTAAGTGCATCTGCTAGGCTTTCCATGTCTTCCAGCAGTGGAGTTTCCAGCAGAGTTGAGGATCTACGATTTCCAGCTGAAGTAAGTCCATTGTATTCCATCAGGGGTGGAGGCCAGTGTCTTCCATCAGGGGTGGAGACCAGTGTCTTCCATCAGGGGTGGAGACCAGTGTCTTCCATCAGGGGTGGAGACCAGTGTCTTCCATCAGGGGTGGAGGCCAGTGTCTTCCATCAGGGGTGGAGACCAGTGTCTTCCATCAGGGGTGGAGGCCAGTGTCTTCCATCAGGGGTGGAGACCAGTGTCTTCCATCAGGGGTGGAGGCCAGTGTCTTCCATCAGGGGTGGAGGCCAGTGTCTTCCATCAGGGGTGGAGGCCAGTGTCTTCCATCAGGGGTGGAGGCCAGTGTCTTCCATCAGGGGTGGAGGCCAGTGTCTTCCATCAGGGGTGGAGGCCAGTGTCTTCCATCAGGGGTGGAGACCAGTGTCTTCCATCAGAGGTGGAGGCCAGTGTCTTCCATCAGGGGTGGAGGCCAGTGTCTTCCATCAGGGGTGGAGGCCAGTCTCTTCCATCAGGGGTGGAGACCAGTGTCTTCCATCAGGGGTGGAGACCAGTGTCTTCCATCAGGGGTGGAGGCCAGTGTCTTCCATCAGGGGTGGAGGCCAGTGTCTTCCATCAGGGGTGGAGGCCAGTGTCTTCCATCAGGGGTGGAGGCCAGTGTCTTCCATCAGGGGTGGAGGCCAGTGTCTTCCATCAGGGGTGGAGGCCAGTGTCTTCCATCAGGGGTGGAGGCCAGTGTCTTCCATCAGGGGTGGAGACCAGTGTCTTCCATCAGGGGTGGAGGCCAGTGTCTTCCATCAGGGGTGGAGGCCAGTGTCTTCCATCAGGGGTGGAGGCCAGTGTCTTCCATCAGGGGTGGAGGCCAGTGTCTTCCATCAGGGGTGGAGGCCAGTGTCTTCCTTCAGGGGTGGAGGCCAGTGTCTTCCATCAGGGGTGGAGGCCAGTGTCTTCCTTCAGGGGTGGAGGCCAGTGTCTTCCATCAGGGGTGGAGGCCAGTGTCTTCCATCAGGGGTGGAGGCCAGTGTCTTCCATCAGAGGTGGAGGCCAGTGTCTTCCATCAGAGGTGGAGGCCAGTGTCTTCCATCAGAGGTGGAGGCCAGTGTCTTCCATCAGAGGTGGAGGCCAGTGTCTTCCATCAGAGGTGGAGGCCAGTGTCTTCCATCAGAGGTGGAGGCCAGTGTCTTCCATCAGAGGTGGAGGCCAGTGTCTTCCATCAGAGGTGGAGGCCAGTGTCTTCCATCAGAGGTGGAGGCCAGTGTCTTCCATCAGAGGTGGAGGCCAGTGTCTTCCATCAGAGGTGGAGGCCAGTGTCTTCCATCAGAGGTGGAGGCCAGTGTCTTCCATCAGAGGTGGAGACCAGTGTCTTCCATCAGAGGTGGAGACCAGTGTCTTCCATCAGAGGTGGAGACCAGTGTCTTCCATCAGAGGTGGAGACCAGTGTCACAACATGCACACCTTGTATTATTATTGGGGATACTTACCATAATAGTTTATTATACTGGAGGCCAGTGTCCCAGATGTATACACTGAGATGTACTCGCCTATTTGTGACTGCAGGGGTCAAAACTAAGCTCCTGGCCCCGCCTGTCCACTGATCTCTACCAGGTCCTCTCTCTCCCTGCTCCATGAGCTTTATCATACCTCGTCTTAAAACTATGTATGGTTCCCGCCTCCACTACGTCACTTTCTAGGCTATTCCACTTCCAGACAACTCTGTGACTGAAGAAATACTTCCTAACATCACTCTGACTCATCTGAGTCTTCAACTGCCAATTTTGGCCCTTTGTTGCTGTGTCCCATCTCAGGAACATCCTGTCCTTGTGTGTGTGTGTGTGTGTGTGTGTGTGTGTGTGTGTGTGTGTGTGTGTGTGTGTGTGTTAGTTACCATTTTGTCCTAGGCACATGTCGATTAGACACTAGGCCTGTTGTATATGAGTCCGTGTGTGTGTGTGTGTGTGTGTATGTGTGTGTGTGTGTGTGTGTGTGTGTGTGTGTGTGTGTGTGTGTTCACTGATATGTATAAACATTGACAGTCATCATGAACGATAATGAACAACACAGTCACAAGAAGAATAACACAGCCCAGTGTTTAATATATCAATCCAAACTTTCCCTGTGTCCTTGTTGCTCTTACTCTAGGATATGTATATACCTTGAGATGTGTACATAAACTGAGATGTTTATATACACCCGGAGACATTCAAGTCCATTACTTCTGCGGATGTTGTCTACATGCGCAGAAGTAATGGAGTGTGGTCAGTGGCAGCTGTTACTGTAATATCTGTATGGTGCACCTCATACCCAGCCTGTAGGCGGTAGGTAAGGCTAGGTTAGGTTAGGTTAGGTTAAGTTAGGTTAGGTTTCGTTAGGTTAGGCTTGGTTAGGTTAGGTTGGTTAGGTAAGGTTAGGCTAGGTTAGGTTAGGTTAGGTTTCGTTAGGTTAGGTTAGGTTTCGTTAGGTTAGGTTGGTTAGGTTAGGTTAGGCTAGGTAAGGTTAGGCTAGGCTAGGTTAGGTTAGGTTAGGTTTCGTTAGGTTAGGTTAGGTTTCGTTAGGTTAGGTTGGTTAGGTTAGGTTAGGCTAGGTTAGGTTAGGCTAGGTTAGGTTAGGTTAGGTTTCGTTAGGTTAGGCTTGGTTAGGTTAGGTTAGGTTAGGTTTCGTTAGGTTAGGCTTGGTTAGGTTAGGTTAGGTTTCGTTAGGTTAGGCTTGGTTAGGTTAGGTTAGGTTGGTTAGGTTAGGCTAGGTTAGGTTAGGTAAGGTTAGGTTAGGCTAGGTTAGGTTAGGTTCGGTTTCGTTAGGTTAGGCTTGGTTAGGTTAGGTTAGGTTGGTTAGGTTAGGCTAGGTTAGGTTAGGTAAGGTTAGGTTAGGCTAGGTTAGGTTAGGTTCGGTTTCGTTAGGTTAGGCTTGGTTAGGTTAGGTTAGGTTGGTTAGGTTAGGCTAGGTTAGGTTAGGTAAGGTTAGGTTAGGCTAGGTTAGGTTAGGTTCGGTTTCGTTAGGTTAGGCTTGGTTAGGTTAGGTTCGGTTTCGTTAGGTTAGGCTTGGTTAGGTAAGGTTGGTCAGGAAACAGGACAAGTATTTCCTGACGAGGATCTTAATTATGTGATGACGCACACCTGGAGCTTTTGGTCATCTGACCGAGACCTTCCACTGGCTTACCACTCCACCACTTTAAAAATTATGATCATTATTACAACCACTAGATTTATTTCGGCAATTCTTTCTTATTACTTTAGTTTGGTTAACATTTATCCTGAGAGGCCGGCGCGACCTTGTTACTTCGTGAACATGATTCTTCCCTAGTTCTAGCCTTGTGTAACTCCTTAGTGTGTGTACTCGCCTAATTGTGGTTGCAGGGGTCGAGACTCGGCTCCTGTGTAAGTTTATTTAGGTACTTGTACACCTAAGTCCAATTATCATGCATAGTAACGTGTGTAAATTATCTGTGATAGCCCAGTGGCTTATTTGCATTGGGATTCTTGTGTGTACTCACACCTATTTGTGGTGGCAGGGGTCGAGTTACAGTTCCTGGCCCCCGCCTCTTCGCTAGTGTGTGTGTACTCACCTAGTTGTACTCACCTAGTTGAGGTTGCGGGGGTCGAGTCCGAGCTCCTGGCCCCGCCTCTTCACTGATCGCTACTAGGTCACTCTCCCTGAGCCATGAGCTTTATCATACCTCTGCTTAAAGCTATGTATGGATCCTGCCTCCACTACATCGCTTCCCAAACTATTCCACTTACTGACTACTCTGTGGCTGAAGAAATACTTCCTAACATCCCTGTGATTCATCTGTGTCTTCAACTTCCAACTGTGTCCCCTTGTTACTGTGTCCAATCTCTGGAACATCCTGTCTTTGTCCACCTTGTCAATTCCTCTCAGTATTTTGTAAGTCGTTATCATGTCCCCCCTATCTCTCCTGTCCTCCAGTGTCGTCAGGTTGATTTCCCTTAACCTCTCCTCGTAGGACATACCTCTTAGCTCTGGGACTAGTCTTGTTACAAACCTTTGCACTTTCTCTAGTTTCTTCACGTGCTTGGCTAGGTGTGGGTCCCAAACTGGTGTGTATGTGTGTGTGTGTGTGTGTGTGTGTGTGTGTGTGTGTGTGTGTGTGTGTGTGTCGCAGGGTGCGTGGTGCGTCAGCTTGGCGCGGTAATGAACAATGTATTGATTCCTGCGCAGGCCGCAGCGCGCGCATAACTTACCGAGTTACGTAAGGCACTGCTGTGCCACACTGCCACTCTCTCCCTCTGCGCTCACTTTATTATTCCGGCAGCGTAATGACAGGTCACCTATCCTAATAACTGTTACATCAAAAGCGCTTTTCTAGAAGAACCAAGAGTTCAGGAGGGTGAGGCTCCTGCGCTCTAGTGTGTGGCGCAGTGTCCGCCTTCTCCCCGCACTGGTCGCACCCACACACTCTGGTCACTACAGTAGTGCCAGGGGTACATCTCATTGCACTAGGCACTTCCCTTGTTGCTCTAAACACTAGACAAGTTGGTGGCTTCGCCTCTGTGTCGTTAAGTTCCCCAGTTTGACTTTATTAAGAAGCACCTCACTGAAATCAGAATTTCACAATATAGTGAAAGCGGCATTGTGTAAAAATCGGGCAGCCTTACACATGAGGGATCACCTTTCTAGCTAGACCATGACAAAATCTAAATCTGGATTTGCTTTTATAAACAAGACTTTGTCAAAGTTGTAACTTGTCAAATTCATGTATTTTTGGCGGATGTGTACTTGTAAGGCTTGTGCGATCGTTTTCAAATTGCTGTCAGATTTCACGGTAAAATAAACAGATATAAGTACAAAGTTGGGTGAAGTTGACGTGTGGTAGTGAGTGTATTGCAACTTAATTACCCAGTGTTATTACAAGTGTTGGATAGCGCAGCCTTGATCCAGTAGGTCAGTAGCAAGTGCTACAGACAGATGTAGTGATGTAAAGGTGTGAT